TATTAAACAATGTTGTCTGCCTTTTAAACTTAATATGGTAAAATAAAATTATGGCAAAAAAAATCCCTTTCCCCCCCCCCCCCCCCCACTTTGTGGACACATAGATGGGAAATACACAAAGAAAACAAGACGGACTTGAGTCAGTGGGTTTGGCTGATGCTCAGCTGAACTGTTTTCCTGTAAAAAGCCCAGTGAATAATGTGTACGTGTGGGTTACAGAAGTTTTATGACATCCAGTGCCGGCAGGCGCTCATGTGGTCTGTGTCCCATCCTCAGGTTTCTACTGATGTACTCCACAGTTCTCTGCAGCTATTACAACTCCGCGCTGACCACAGCAGTGGTTGGAGCTATCAAGGTAAGCTGTGGAGCCTTATGCTGAACACCGGAGTCAGAATCAAGCACAAACCGTGTGCTGGAAGCTGTCTGCTTTTGCTCTGGATGGAGGTGCTGTGAGGGTGTGACCATCCCCCTTTTCTGTAGATCTGATGCACTTCTCTCTAATCCACTGAGAGAGGTTGCTAATTTTAAACTGGGGGTCAGGGAGGGCATGAGTTGGGAAAAGGAAATAACCAACTGAAAAGAAAATAATCCAAGTATCTGTGATCATCTTGTTATCTACAGTTTGGTTTCCTAGGAAACCTGACCACTAAGAAGGGAAACCCTTCTGAAGAAATGTTTTCAATTAGGTCATGAACTTGAACTCATGGGTTGGTCCAAGGGTATTTGTGTGAGTGTATGCATTTGAACACACACGCACACACACACACACACACACACACACACACACACACACGCACACACACACAGAGAACGAATAGAGGATAGAGATGTTATGAATTCTGGTCCACAGTTTTGCTTTTCTATTCAAATGGACTCCTCAAGTCAGTGACAAAACCTGCTTGTTTCAGCCCAGAGCCCTCAAAAACCCTTCACAGGGTCCTGCTTAGAGTTTAGACGCTTAGTCGTTGCCTCCTGCATTCAGGTGGGGGAATGATAGAATTAAAATTTCCTATGCAGTGATGGTATGAAATGGAAACTGGCAAGCTGATTATAACTCCATTTTCCTATTTTCTGCTTGGAAGCAGGAGAGATGATCAGTGCAGTTTTCTGTTATTACATCCTAATTTGCTTCATTTATTTTAAAGGCACATGTAATTCAGTATTCCATGAACCTCTGTCTTCAAATCTCTGTGCAGTCGCTTGAATGTCTAGTTTCAGGTTTTTCTGTAGAACTATATTTCCATCCCTTACTTTTAATGATTAACCCTTTCTCTTTTTCTGCAGAATGTATCAGTTGCCTACATTGGAATGTTAGTTGGTGGGGACTACATCTTCTCCATTTTAAACTTTATAGGGTTAAATATTTGGTAAGTGATATTTTTAAATGAAAAAATTTTAGTATAATAAGAAATTTACTATAATTAATAGATATACACTAAGCACAAAGGAAAAAGCAATGTTATTATTTGCCACATGCAAGTGCTATTCTACTAAGCCACGTGGGGCTGGAGTTCCTTTGTTTAAGGACATCGCTTTTCACATGTCATAAAGCATCTCAGGGCTGAGATCCCAATTCAGTTCATGCATCTTCCTCTCAGAAGATCTCCTAAGTCGCCTATCTTCCCCACAGCACATGAGTCACATTACCTGTGGTCTGAGGATACTGTCAGGGTGAACTGGAATGCTTTTGAACACATTTGGGGGGTGTCAGACTTGGGCATTATTTTAGGATCGTTGTATATAGTTTATTCAATAAAAATTGTACACTTACTTTTTTTCCACCCACAAACATTTGTAGAGAAGCAATTCTTATTAACTAGTCCACAAACCTAAGGGGGAAAACCCCCAGGAATCTGAATAATCTGTCCAGAATAAGCTGACAATATTTATAAAGTCATCAGCAACACCTACAGACTTTTCCCTTTTTTTCTCTCTTTTCAGCATGGCAGGTGGTTTAAGATATTCCTTTTTAACACTAAGCAGTCAGTTGAAACCCAAGGAACCTGTGGATGAAGAGAGTGTCCCTCTGGATCTGAAGAGCTGACAGGGAGGCAGAGCTTCTGGCTGACTTGTAGACCCAGGCCTGGGGAGGGCAGTCCCAGCAGGAGTGGGCAGCCCATCAGGCTGGTATAGTCACCTGTTTGGTCAGAGCACCAACAAGTGTCTGCAAAATGCCAAGAGAACTGAACTAACAACTACCTCGCATGCCAATGCACTGTGAGCCACAGGGCCCTTGAGATGTGCACAGCTCAGAACCTTCCTGGTGAAGTGAATTTGCTCAGAAACAGCCACGGACCCTCCAAAATGTGTGCTGAGGGTGATGCTCTACAGTCACTTTGGGTATCAGTGCCTTGGCCTTAATTTTAAAGGTTCCAGTCAAAGCAAGTGCCAGTGCCCAGGACTTTTTTTTTTTTTTTAGTTGAAACATGTCTTTTCTTTTCTTTTCTTTTCTTTTCTTTTCTTTTGCTTGTCAGGGCCTGGGTTTCACCCTCCCACACTGTGGAAGCCGGAGGTGAGCTGAGGCCCCTGGTGGCTCTGGATGCCGAATCTCAACCCAGGCCATGACTAAGACCAGGGGTGATTTTCAACAAACACCTGACATGTCTTTATTTTCATAAAAATTTTAGTCAGTTAATTTAGATTTAAGCTGTGTTGGTATATTTTTCCTAGTCATCAAAGTAAAATAAAAGTCATTTCTATGTATGCCTCATAGTATGATACTGAAAATAGTAAGTTATTTATTTGGTATCAAAGAATATTCCTGGGGCTGGAGAAATGACTCAGTGGGTAAAGTGCTTTCTGTACAAACATGACTTTAGGTCAGATCCCCCCAAAACCATGTAAAAAGCCAGGCATGATGGTACACATATGTAACCCCAGCTCTGGGCAGGAAGAGGCAGGCATATTCTGAAGATCACTGGCTACCCAGTCTATCTGAACTGGTGAGCTCTGGGTTCATTGAGAGACCCTGTCTCAGAAATAATGTGAAGAGTGATAGAGGGAGACAGGTCAGCCTCTGGTCCCCCCACCCCCCCATCACACACACACACACACACACACACACACACACACACACATACACATCCCTCCACCTTAAAGGAACAAGATTCTCCTTTTAGGATACATGCTGGAAAAATTTACAAAGTAACAGAAAAAAAGTACTCTGTCTGTCAAAATGTAAGTGGCTTATCTGTCTCTTTCTGCCCAGCTCCCCCCAGGTTTGTTCAAGGGACTTTGACATTTAGATCATGTGGGCTTTAACTGAAGGAGCATGCCTTATAGGCTTACCTACCCTTCAGGCAGTGTATGGCATGGGGCCATATGGATGGAAGCCACCATCCCCTTCCCCATCAGGAAGTGGGCTCTCCCAGTGGGGCTGTGAGGCAGTATACAGGTGAGTTGTTCCCTCCCACCCTAAGGTTTGAGTCTTTAATTCTGACTAAATAAACCAGTGAGAAATTAACAGGGGGAAAGGCACGTAAACTTATTAACACGTACTGTTGTTGCACGGGAGTGATGCAAAATGTGAAGTAAGACAGGTGGTTCAAATTCAAGCACCCTCTTCTTAGGGGATGAGGAAGTGGAATGGTGACAGATTCAGAGGGACTGTAAGTGATTTTTAGGGGAGATGAATGGGAGGAAAGAGACAATGACCTGAGACAAAGTCACTCTGGATGGCAGGTATGCATGGTACACAGTCTCTGTGGTGGGAGTTTGTCAGTGGTTGTGAAATTTCAGTGAGGTGATTGAGGGCCACTGTGATGCTTGCTGGTGGATTTGATCTTTATGTAGATAAGGGAACTGTAGAGAAAGTTTCGTCCCTCTCCTGATGCTCCCCAAGGGCCTTTAATTTAAAATAATCCACCCACGAAGGTACCATATTTTGGATATTGTTTTTTGAACTTCACGGGGTCCTGGTGTGGGATTCAGGAGCCCTTCCTTCCTGTCACAATTTCACTGATAAATGCCAAAAATCTTCACAGGCTGCCCACTGTGAATTACAGTGTTCTAATCTGAAAAATCCAGCCAGATCTTGAAATGCTTGCCAGTAAACGTTCTTTCTTTTTATTTGTGTATATGCATGTGTGTGTGTTCAGGCCAGTGGACAACCTCAGGTGTGTTCTTCAGGCACTGTCCACCTTGTTTTTTGAGACAGGGTCTCTCATTTGGCCTAACAGGCTATGCTAGCTGGCCAGTGAGCTCCAGGGACCTGTCTGACTCTGCCTCCCCAACACTGACATTGAAAGTGCACACCACCACACCCAGAGTTTTCACACAAGTTCTGCAGATCAAATCCAGTCAACTTTACTGACAGAGCTAATGCCCCAGCTTCGCCAGCATCAGCTTTCTAAGTTTCTAGAAATTGAGCCAGAGGTGGCAGCAGATAAGGAATGTGTGTGCTAATGTTAGAGTAGCAGCAAAAACTGTCAGGAGAAAACTGGTCAAGAGAATAGAATTTGGCCTAGGACCTAACAGTCCATTTGGACCAGGCCAATCCCCTGGCCAAGGGACCACTCCTAGGAAGGTGGGTTCACTTTAAGCCATGCTAGAGAGAGGAGGAATAATTAGTTGTTCAACGAGATAATGTACCTTTCCCCAGGAACCCCCGCCACCCAGGGCAGTAGCTTACCAGGCAGCAGACATGTAGCTTTGTAAGTCTGCCTGCTTTGCTGAGTTCTTCAAAAAGTGGAACCTCTCCATTTCTTGTTTCTATCTCTTTTCTAAGCATGCTTTTCCTAACACTTTGAGTTTCCTATACATTGTGGGTTTCCTTGCTCTAAAGCCCTTCTCCCCATCATGAGGCTATTTGTCGGCCATGTGTCTGACCTCCTTACCAGCTTAAAATGGCATGGCTTCCTCTAGGTACTGTTGAGATTGACAGCTTGCCTGCCCTGAGGGTTTTTCTTTTAAACTCTAATAAAATTGTTCTCGCTCTTCTGTTGAGCCCATTCTTAAATTATTTTACTAATGAGGCTAAGAACTCCAAGAGGGGCCCCAATTTCCCCTGAACAACTATTGTGTAGTTTCCATTTACTCAACAAAATTATTCTTACTTTTTATCATTTTGGATATGTGTGTATACATGTGTGAAACACATTATTCACATGTGATGGTCAGAAGACCATGTAGTTGGTTCTTTTCACTTTTAAAAAATATTTTATTTATTATTTTTAAGTGTATGTGTGTATTGCCTGCATGTAGGTAAGTGCACCCATGTCTTGCAATGCCCGCGGAGGACAGAAGGGGCTGTTGGATCCCCTGGAACTGGAGTTATGGACAGTTGTTAGCTGCCACATGGGTGCTGGGATTCAAACCCGGGTCTTCTGCAAGAACAGCCAGTGTTCTGAACCTCTGAGCCATCTCTCCAGCCCCCTTTCTTTTCACTTTTGTGTGGGTTCCAGAGATTGAATTCAGGTCATCAGGCCTGCCTGGCAAGCACCTCTTCCTGCTGAGCCTTCTTGCCAGAGCAATGATTTTTAATTACTGTAAAATATACAAAAAATTTACCATCTTAACCATTTTAAGTGTACAGTTTTATAATATTAAGTGTATGTATGTCAACGTGCAACTGACCTTCAGAACTTTTACATTTTGCAGAACTGGAACTCTACACCCATTATACAACTCCTCATTTCCTCCTCTGTCCAGGTCCTGACAACCATCATTCTACTGTCTCTGTGTATCTGAGTATTCACGTACTTTACCTAAGAGGCATACAGTATTTGTCTTTAAAATTTTTTATTGATTTTTTAAACAGATTTCAAAAAATACATTTTGATGACATTTAGATCTCCTTCCCTATCTGAACCACCATTAATGGCCCCTATCCAGTTTAATATACTCTGTCAGATATTTCATGGCCTGTTAAGTCACATTTGTGTCTTCAAATGCCCTTCCACGTGCGTCCATCCACTGTAGCCTGGTTAACCTATCTAGTGTCATACTCTGAAAGAAAACTCTCTTCCAGAAGCTATTGGTTACCAATAGTTTCTCAGCTAGGGATGGAGCTTCTTACCCACTTCTATGCTAGAACTTTGTCTGGCTTGAACTTACGTGGTCTTGTGCATGCAGTCACCATTGCTGTGAATTCTTAGGAGTAACTGCCCAGCTATCTGGAAAACTCTGTTTCCTTCTGTTCATCTACCACCTCTGGCTCTTACAGTCTTTCTGCCTCCTCTTCTGCAGTGATCTCTGATACCTGGGAGGCAGAGGTTAGAGGTGTCCTATTCAGGGATAACACTCTGCAGTCTCTTATTTTCTGCACGTTGGTCAGTTGTGGCTTTCTGGGTTAATCACTATCTGCTGCATGAGGAAGCTTCTCTGGTGAGAGTTGAGAGATTTTTTCCGCCCCCTGTTCCCTGATGTTCCCTGAGCCTTAAGTATAGAGATTGCATGGTAGATGTATCACTTAGGGATGGGCACTTCACAGATACTTATTCTCTGCATTTGATCAGTTGTGAAATTTGTAATAGTCTCCATCTGTTGCAAAAAGAAGCTTCTTTGATGAATGGTGAGAGGCACACTTGTCTATAAATACAATTTCTTACAATATAGTAAGAAATTAAGTTGGTCTAGGGATGTGGCAAAAATAGGTTTTTCTTTAGGGTCTATGCCATCTCCAACCATAGTACCACATATGATTTGCTTCCCAGGGAGCGGACCTTAAGTCCAATTAGACATCTTTTGATGACTCCCAACAGAAAAATGCCACTACTGTACCAACAGAGATGCTGGACTGGTCATTGTGGTTCGTAGGCTTTACAGCTGGGTGAGATCATGGATTGGTTTTCTCCCTTGATGCTTACATAGTATCTTCTGATAGTATAAGAGCTGGTCTTCAGGGAAGAGGTTTCCAGGTCAGTTCCAGCTCAATTGCTCCAAGTTCTGTCTCCAAAGTATACCTTGTCTTCAGCTATAAGGTCTTACCTTCAAGTTCTGGGAGGCAATCGGGGGCTATGGCAATAGACTGTATTGTTTTGGGAGTCTCTTGGACTACTCTGACCAACGACTTGAAGGGGACTTTCCTGGCACTGTCATTTTTGTTACATAGCCTTTAGCTATGCACATGCACCCTTCTATATACTGGATATATATTTCTCAGTAGGCTTTTGAACTAACACATTTCCCTCTGGTTTGTTGCACCTTTAATCCCAGCACTCAGGAGGCAGAGACAGGCAGATCTCTGTGAGATCAAGGCCAGCCTGGTCTACACAGTGAGTTCCAGGCTAGCTGGGGCTTCAGGGAGACCCTGCTTCAAAAAAACAACAAAAAATAAAGAAAATAAGATAAATTTAAAGTTCAGTATTTCTCTTTTTGTGACTGTCTTATTTCAGCAAAATAGCCTCAAGATTCATCCATGTCATAGTACACATCACAATTCTCTCCCTTTTATTTCTGACAGTGTGGGGAACAGGACCCCCACTTCTCAGAGTGGTGAAGGCAAGACAGTTTACTTTAGGATCTTTCAAGATCTGGCACCAACTTATGTCGCGAGCCTGGACTCTGTCCAGCAGAGTCCAGGAAAGACGACACAGACACCAAGGTGAGGTTCAAGCTTCTGTTTCTCTTTCTCCTTTATTCTCTCTTATTCTCTTCACTATGATGCTGGCTCTCTCTTTTATTACACCCTTCAGCTCTTTATATAGCGTTTCCAACAGCCCTCCCCCCAGCCGGTACCAATCAGGGCTCACACACGTGCAGCG